ACATCTCAACAGTGAGCATGCGCTGGACGATAGAAGTACAGCTCAATGTAGAGTACAAATGCAGGTTGTACAGCAGTTAGAGCTACAGGTAAAGCCACATTTATTTTTAATATTACCTCAGTATTCCGCAAATTCCAAATTTCTGTAGTGTTCTGGAATGAGCTCCTGTGTACTCATTATTGAATGGAAGATCCCAAACCTGTTGTTGTCCTTTCTTTTTTTCTTTTCCTTTTTCTTTTTTCTTTTTATTTAAAAACTCTTTGGGCAAGTACGACCTCAGTTTAATCTTTGCAGCTGCAGCTCGGATGTTTCTCCGCTCTGAGCACCTGCGTGTTTGCAGCCGAGGTTCAGTGATGGCTTCTAGCTTTTCCATCTCTCTGTCACTTTCCCGCCTTTCTCTGTTCTCCTTTGAACTTTCCGGTTCTCTGTCGTTGGTGTTAACGTTCCCATGGTTGATGTTGTTATTGAACTAGAATAGGGTGACACGTGGGGGGTGGGGTGGGGAGAGCGATGGAGAAAGAATGAATGTGAATGCAAAGAGAGAGAATGAGCGAGGGGGAGACGGGGCGAGCGACTGCGTGCATAAGTGCGTTTCCCAAAGTTACAGTAAAAGTGGCGTGTGGACCAACCCCTCGCTTTGCATTGTCCCCTCTTCTCGCCATCTCTGAGAGCAACTGAGTGCACTGCACACGTTTTAAGTACACACATGTGTCTGTCTATATGATACATGTAACCTTTCTAAATATTGTGTTTGTGTGTGTGTGTGTGTGTGTCTGTGGTATTTGGAAATGTACTGGGCCACGTTGAACCTAACTTGTGCGGATTTTCGTTGGTATCATAGTTAGGAGGTTTGGGGGACATTTTTCACTTCTGGGGTAACTTGTTGATGAACAACCATATTTGAACAGTAATTCCATTCTTCATGTAATTAATAGAAAACGGTTTCAAAAAGTAAAAATTGGGTCAGAAATGGAGATTATTAATATGTACAATTGCAAAAGCCTGACCCTGCAAACCCCATTTATGCAACTGAGTTCCAAAATGCTTTGAGTGCTGGATGACTCACCGTGGCTTCTTCCTCTGGCTGGTTTAGTGTAGGCAAGAGGTTAGCCGACTAGGGGAAATTAAAACAATGTTGTACATTATATTGTTACCAGCCATCGAAAAGCCTATTTTGTATGCAAGACAGCAATGCTGAGATATATGGAGAGCCCTAGGCTAAGTACAGAAGATAATTACATTTGGAATTTTACTGAGTTAAGTCATTTACAGCTTCAAATAGTTGCAGAGAAAAATCAGCCAAAACACACTTAAACTTTTTGTTGTGACTTTTCAGGATAGAAAGGATCTTTTTTAATTAGTTATCATCTTATATGACAAATTACTTTTCTTTTTAGTGGGATTTTTCTCCAAAGTTATTTTCTTTAGCTAGTTAATATTTTTCCATTCAAACTACGACTAGAAGCGTATTAGAACAGAAACATATTTTTACGGACAAAAGGTACATCATAAAATCCCCCGATTTTTATCCAAGTCTTTGGAAACATCTTTAAGTTTAGCATGTTTATTGAGATGTAAAAAAGTAATCTCAACAGTTATTTCTGATTAAAGCCCAGGAAGCCTTTGCCAAACCG